TACAGAACCTTTCTCTTCTCTTAACTCGATCTTTTTGCCCGCTTGATACGATAGCTATAGCTTCATCCGCCAGGCCAACTTTCGCTTCTTCGCTCATTGATGTGTTTTCATTTGTTCTTCGCTTTTCCGAACTGGTAAACAGAGTTTTCCGTGGTCCATGTTTACTTATAACTTAATAGAATTACATCTAATATGAAAAATGCTTAAATCTAAGTAGGCAGCCAATTCGTGGTATCCATATATTCCCGCGAAAGTAGTCTCGGTTGATTGCGTGCACGTTATAGGGCTGTCAATCAAGAGAGAACTTTTACTTCCGGCCGTAACGTAAAACCTCCATTTCTCCGCCAATATTAAGTTTTTTTTTAAATTTTGTTTTCAGAAATTAGAGATTACTCTTCGACCATTACTTTGAACCAAAAATCCAAATTTGAAGAAAATTGCCGATCTGAAGGTATACTGTAACCTTAAAAACGTTATAGAGTAACACCATAAAATTTACGTTAACAAGTTGAATATCTGAAATACACCGGAAAAAATAATTATCATTTATTTATTTGTTTAGTTATTTATTTATTCTTGCTGGTTTTTTGTTTTGTTTGTTTGTTTGTTTGTTTTGTTTTTGGTGGCTTTGATCATGTTTTATCTACTATTTTGTTTCCCGTGTATCTGAGATATTGAAATTGTTAACGCAAAGTTCATGGTGTACTTCCGTAACGTAAATACTTTTTTAATGAACTGTTCAAGTTAATGTTGAAGTGCGTAAAAGCCCAGCAAAATGAAAAAGATTTGATCTGATACAACTGGACTATCCGTTTTTCTTGATGCTACACTTTCTTTAATACAGGGAAGAAATGAAAACGACCCGTGTTCATACAATTCTTGGTTATCGTCTTCCCTTGAGCAAGGTTTCACTTGTCAGGTAATAATAATAAAATGAATTTTTAACTGGATAAACTCATCAGTACAAATTGTACTGTTATCATAGGGGCCCTGTAAAACTTAAAAAAAGTAAAAAAGTCCAAAAATCTAAAAAAAAAAACAACTGCATCAATAGAAAGAACATACAAACTAGAACATAGAAACTACAGATAACTATAAATACAAAAGTTAGTTGATCTTTTGTCGAGATAAAACTCTACAATTGATATTTCTGACCTCTAATGGTAAGCTATTATAAATTGCGGCACCTAAAAAAGAAAAACTTTAACTGCTAAACTCCAGTTTCATTTTGGGTAGCTCAACTGAGGAAAGTCTGTTCTTGGTGTTGAAGTTGTGCTTTTTCCTCGTAAACGTACCTCGTTTCCCCGATTTGGGACTTGAAAAGTGTACAAATTCTCGTTTTTGTTCCCTTAACCAGAGTTTGGTGTTTAGAGCCTTTCAGACCACACGTGTCCAAGTTATTAAACTAGTGTGTTCAGTTTGACATCGAGCAGGGATTTTTATGGTTTGTTTGGCTAACGCTTCGTTTTGCCAAAGGAAACATATTTTAAGTTCTGCTGATTGAGAGCTTGGAATTCAAGATGTCCATCAGATTGATTAAAGTAGGGAGTTTAGGCAGTCTTCTATGGCAACGGTAACGGGAGCAATGGCTCTCCACATGCGATGCAAAGCTACATTTCTCAGCCCTCCGGTGGAAAAAAAAAAAACGTTAAATCATCAATTTTCATGTTTGGAGAACCTGAGCCATGACAACGAATTTCTCATGTTTCTGTTTGAAATCTGATTTTGTGTTAATGCAGTTTCATCTAGGCGACGCCTGACTTCACAATGTACCACGACTGCGAGAGGACAAATTTCTTTTTTGCGTCAGAAACACGCGAAATGTCGGAGGTACCATTTCTTTGAAGCAGAACGTCTTGCTTAAGATATTTATCATGTGTAACAGTATCATGTTAATTTACTAACCCTTGGCACAAGCACACAGCTCATCATTCTATTCGAAGTTGGGTTATGCTCAAATTCGTAAAGCAATGAATAATGAGTCAAGTTCCCACCTTAAACAGAATAATACCTCACAGTTAGAAACTATTCGCTTTCCTTTAAAGAAACAATGTATTTATGACCTATTTATATTATTAACCAAACGCAATGGCCGTGCTGGCATTAAGCACTTTCGTGCATATTTCTGGCTCAGCTGATCCAATCACTGTGATCTGGGTATCATTGGAAAGATCTTTTCCTTCCGCAGAACTTTGGTGATGTCAATTTTGATCAAAGGTGATGACGCCAGAGGTGGAACACTCGTCACGGCCGGTTACGGCCGGCGCAGGTGTCAATGGCTTAATTGTTCAAGTCCCAAGCTGGCCACCCACATAGAGAAATTTAACAAATTGACGTCAGATTTTATGCGTCTGTCCTCTTATTGATGATAAATTGCGTCATAACATTGTCAAAGTGGCTATGAAACCACGAGCCGGCCGGCTCGTGGAAGTTTCAGTAAACATTGTCAATAGCTTTTCTCGCGTTTTGATTGGCTACTTAAAAAAGTCCATAAAATCTCGTTGGTTAAAAAAAGTTGACAGTATGACAGCTGAAAGTTGAACTTGAAAGCTTGCGTAAATTAATTTTTTTTTTCCATTTGTACTCTTATTGATGATAAAAATGAGCCAATCAGCGCGCGAGAAATTAGACAGTTATTGTAAGAAAAAGATCTTTGCTTGAAATCCTTGACAAAGCGATATTTGAAAGTATTATGGAGAAAGCTTTGTGCGGATCGACGACGACGCTGCCTTGGAGTTACCCGGCCACTAGTCTCTTCTGCCATACTTACTCATAATGTTCAGCGCACCATGAAAGTTACGTCACTAGGTTGTTCTGGTCGTTCCAAGATGGTGCTCAACTAGCTGACTTCGAATGGCCCAAACGAAAGGCGAAAACAGTACACAATGTGAAAAGTTCAAGTCTTAGATATGAAAATTTCATTTCACCAACACTTCAGTATCCTTGTAATTTAGGAAATGTGACTCTAAATTTATCTACCGTCAATATCAAACCGGATTCAACTGAATCCTGTTTCATTTCTCACCATCAAGAAACGGAAAGTTCTCCAACGGCTTCCAAGAAACTGTGTAATTGTGTTTACCAACTGCGATAGACTTAAAGGTAACATTTAGAATCTCTGCCCGACGTGGAGAAGCTGCTTTTGGATCAGAAAGACCAAGGCACCCTAAAAATCAAACATGATAATAACAATAATTAATGCCTGATTCTCAAAAGTCAATATTGATTGTAGCTGCATTTTTCTCTGCCTTATGCGCCTTCTGGCACAGAGAAAAATAAGTTACTAAATAACTAATATTTTTTGCCATATATAGTGCCGATTGATTATCGTAACAGGGATCTAACAGTAACAGTAACTTTTATTAATATGTAATTAGGTTATAAGCCTTAAGCAAGACCGCGCCGCCTGGCGTCACGGTGTGAAGGAGGGGGCACTCAGGGCCGAGACGAAGGCCAGGGCCGAGGCAACAATCAAGCGGGCAGCGAGAAAGGAACGACAAGTATCAGTTCGTGAGGCCACCAACTACATCTGTACCAGCTGCAACAAAGACTGCCACTCAAAAATCGGGCTTTTGAGTCACTCAAGAGCCTGTCGACACTGATGCGCTGACCATCGCCTCTCCGAGACGAGGATGCCAACAACATTTATGAGCCTTAGTAGCTCGCAGCTTGCAAAGCTATACCCTGCTACCAGAAGTTTCTTTCTGGCAAGTCTTTTAGCATGTACGAAGTCGTTCGCGTCTCTTGTATTTCGCGTAGTCGGCTTGTTTACTTCCCCGAAACCTTTGCTACGAGCCGCTTACATTTCCCGTTGAGAATGCGCTAGATCGTAATCAAGTTACTATAGGAATTATGACGTAAATCTCACCTGACGCGATGCCGCAGCCTGGTTTGTCCATCCTCTTTCTTTACGCGGGTAGAAATTACCCCTCATTGTTTTGCACGAACTTGCCAGAATGATTAGGTTTTACAATTCTCAAGAACTGTTGAAGCCTTGTAGACTGCTTCTTTGAAACATAAACGAGAAAGATCTTTGGCAACCATCTTTCGACTTCACGCAGGCTCATTTTTGCACAGCAAATCAGCAAAAAAAAATAGATGCGCATGAGATAACAAACTCGTTTAAACCGGTTTTAAACCTGATTATCACGTGATCTACCTCAATCTGGAGGTATCTAAAGCGCATGCTCAACGGGAAATGTAAGCGGCTCGTGGCAGAGGTTCCTCTCGGGGAAGTAATAAGCCGACTATGCGAAATACAAGAGACGCGAACGACTTCGTACATGCTAAAAGACTTGCCAGAAAGGAACCTCTGCTAGCAGGGTAGCAAAGCTATTCTGGGTGATCTACTATTACATTAACGGTATTATCTAGTTTAGTTGAACGAGAGAATAAGAAAAAAATGGGAAATTAAAGACATTTGAGTAGATAAACAAAATGACACCAAAATATTATACATAACATATGTGTCGTTCAATACATATCGTTCACTTACTTTGGGGTTTTTCTATGCTGCG